ATTTTTCTGGTTTATATTTATTGATGTAACGATATGCGAAAATCTACAATAGATTGTGATAAAATTTTAATGGCAAATTTGTGTAAAATTGTTATTTAAGGTGTATTAATTATCAAATAATCACATGAATGTATATTGCGGCGAAATGTATATAAGTGCATATGAGGTCTGTTTCTTTATTCGCTAATGCGTAAAGAAACATAGAAAATTAGAAAAACAATAATTAGTCGATTATGTTTCTAAGAGACGTTGTTCAAAATGTGATGTCAAGCCTTTGGGAAATGATTGAGAAACATAATTAAAGATAAGCATAAAAGTATTGAACGAATTGTAAAGCCTTATTTCAAACTAAACAGCTCCAGATAATGATTTCATTCATACTTAAATAAAACGAAGACCTTGAACTTTCAGATGCAAAAAAAACATACATACATTTAACTCTAGCTTTTATTGAGCGCGCTTAGGCCTATGTATTTAACACATTGTTAACATTTTCTTTTATTCAACAGAATTGAACACCCATTCACCAATTACGATGCAAAGCGTTTTATATTTTGAATCGTTCATCATTTTAGCAAACTTTTACCATAGAATAATATGTTAATTTATTGTTTATAAATATGTTATAACTATCATTGAAAAGAGTTTTTAAATCTAGTTAATAAGACACGATAGGATTAAGTTTTAACTTACCAAAGATGAGAACCGTGATACTTGAAAACTTAAAATCGTAATTAACACCACAAAAGTTATGAAAACAATGGAAAATGCAAGACGCATTATATCATCAAGATCAAAGAAAAACACAGCGCAGAATATGAAACTTGTCTGGTACACTCCGAAACAATATACGGCTGGAAGATATGCTTCACAAACTAGGTTTACTTCTTGCAGGTAAGTCCATAAATCCCAATGAGTTTCGATCAAAGTTTCTACTTTAGCCTTCAAGAAACTTTCGTCTTTTTTCAATTCGTCTACTGCAACAGATAAATACCTGAATCTTCTCGAGAGCATAACGGCACTTGCACCAAAAACAAGTATACAGCAATCTAATTGTCCAATTACATAAATACACATTAATGTGATATTCAGGTTACAGAATGCGAGTTCGAAATGTGAATTAGTTATTTCCATCAAAGTAGGATAAACAAACAAATCGATTATAGTAATGACTAGAATTATTGAAAAAAATAAAACTGTAAGGCCACAAATAAAAAATATCTGAATGGCATCTGTCATTTCTTCTTCTCCTTCATATCCACTGTTATTTCTAGGAAAATAAAGTCTTCTCCTTTTAAAGAAACTGAATTGGAATACTGTAAAAATACCAATTGTACCTAAAATAAATTTTATGAGTATTTGATTTTTAGGGAACATTCGGATCCATCCGACACACACCAAATTATCCGTTATCTCTTGAGTAGTAAGTACTAAATTAGTCCAGATAAATATCTCAATAGCAGTTTGGTACAAAGGATATAACTTTGACAGATATTTCCATTTTTCTTCAGACTTTTCGCAATCGCAATACATCATTTTAATTCCAAATATCTGTAATGACATGAGGACTGGTCTTAGAAAACACACAGCGCACAAGCCGGGCTTAGGGTAAACTGGATACATGTTTTTCTTTTAGTATCGAAGGACGTAATGTAAATATGACGAATTTCAGATCTGGATTTAGTTATAGTTCTGCGGTTCTATTACAAAATATTTCGTTAAAGAAACTAAGTGAAAGTTTTTTCAGAGTGAAAATATTTTTGTAGAAGATACTATGGAAACAATTGATTTCGTTGTTTGTTGCAACCACGTAAAAGAAAATGCATTAGTGAGTTTCATTATGGGTAAATTTATTAGGCAGATACATTAGATGCTTTTAAGATATTGATACCATAGCTTTACTGCTTTAATACTGACGACCACTAATTGAGTTTTCGTCACGTGACTTCAATATCAAATTGAAATCGATCGTTTCCTATTCAAAAACAATACTTTATTTTAAGAAAGCTGTATTTGGTTTATTTTAGGGCTGGCAATGGCGCTTTATAGCCTAATAGAGCTCGGGTAAATTTCAATTAAGATGTCCCATGTACAGTCTTTAGTTCAGACATTTTTTTGCAGGGAATAATTTTTTGGGTGAATCCCCTAGGTATTACCTAGGGGATTCACTTACCTAGGTATTCTCTAGTATTCAACAGTGTCCGTGCAGAAAATAACTAAACAATTTTAAATAAAATTTCATTAAAAAAATTAGATATATGACATTTAAGAACAGTTAATTGTAACTTACAAAAAAAATTCACTTAATTGAATTAGTAAGAACTTTTATTGCACTAAATAATAAAGTAGATTAATTAAGCAAGTATTAGAATATTCTGTACTTACAAACTACAGTAAGACCCCACTTAACGCGGGGGATACGTTACTAGGCGACAAAGCGCTGAGGTTATTTTAACATAGAGTAAATAGGGAAAAGGGAACACGCGACCAAAAATAAACAGATTTTACTTTAAGTTATTTTTATATTCATTTGCATACTAATATATCTTAAATAACACATAAACATTCAGAAATGTAAAGTTCATTTTTTGTGATGAAGGTCCTGACTTTTCTGAAATTCTTGTTTTTTGCAATAAAGTCGCGATGTTTCATTTGTCATTTTTTTCGTTTCCTTAAGCAAATGTTGGTAGTAGAAGTTCGCATCCAAAATGCCTCGTCTTGTTTTTGCACTCCTTTCAAAATCTGGATCATTCGCTACAATTTGATTAACGATTTCGGTTATCGTTATCAAACTTTTACTGAGGAAATTTGTAGAGAAATTCTTCATGTTCTTCGTTTTCAGAATCACTATTTTCCAGTTCTGCATGAATTCCTTGTTCTGCTAGTTCTTGATGGTCGTCGTTGGTAAGACTCTCACCAGTAACTGCAGTATCTCCTCAATATCCTGCTCGTCTACATCTCCTAGTCCTGCTGTATCGAGAGGCTCTTCTCGTTGAGACTTCTTGGATACCTTCAGCCATAACATCTTTCACACTCCGTTCGCGCATTTATCAGTTAATTCTTGCCAAGCGAAGCCGATATTGTCTATGGCATCCACGATGTTATTTTTCCAAAATTGTACCAAACAAACGTAGATTTAAAGAAAGTGCAGCGCTACCACGAATTGCCACTTTTTGCTGATTAGTTCGTGTTTGGAAATACTCGTATTATATACGAATCAATCAAATGCCGCTATAATTTGAATCGGCGTAAATTTTGAGCTTTTTTTTTAGGCTTCGAGCAGACAGCGTTATATCGAATCAGCGTTAAACGGGATCTTACTGTACAATCATTTATAGTTAATATAGTTTAGAGTTATAGGTATATAGCCACCAATTTTAAATTCTGTGGCATGACCAATAATACTAATTACTGTAGTTCTAACTGTTCTCGTTTCCTCTCGAGGCAGTTCGTATAGCTTGGGAAAAAGAGATTTCCATATTAAAGAAACGGAGGCATATTGGGCTTTTCTATTTTCGATTTCGCAAACTAAGTGAGTGGTAAGTGGAGTTATTTTTAGAAAAATACAATTTTTTTTATTGTAGAAAAGAAGGAAGAAACAAGAAATATTGTTTATAAGATTCCTTGTACTTGCAACAATACGAATTTTTATATAGGAGAAACAAAACGTAGATTAAATGCAAGATTAAAAGAAAGTTTAAGATTAAGCGAGGCCCTAGACGAGAATGGACTTTCAAGGCCCTTTCTATATATAGATGTAGGCTATGCTGTGTAAAGGCTCTATTACATAAAATTTAATATTGTAAAAGGGGTACGATCCTAACTCGTACTAGATTCTAAGCACCGGATCAGGTCGGAATATATTATCTGAAGTCTTTAATCTCAAATGTTTAACAATATAAACCTGGGAAAGGGGGTACGGAGCCGTCTTCGTAGTACAGAGGGACGAAGATACAGTGGAACCTAGTTAACTCGAAGTTATTTTCTTTCCCCGATCGTCTAGCGTAGGGATTTACACGTTAAATCAAACCGATTATCTCAAATGGAGTTTCGATATAGTATTTTTATAAACTCTCCGGAATTTTAATTTAGATAAAATGATTAACGTTCCGAATTCCTCCTCCTGATTCAAGTTAGCGAGGTTCCACTGTATAAGGCGTAAACACGAAGTGCTCATATTTTGGCCATGCAAATGCTTTAATTTTTTTTATACCACTTCTGGTAAGATGATGACACAACTTCAATGTGTGTAACAATTCACGTGATCACCATCTTGGGGATTTCTCTACAGGTCCATAATAGAACTCTTATCCTCCAGACCGATAGGTTTTTATCAGTGGTTCTTCCCTACACACCCTTACTAGTAGTGCCATTTGGTCTTGACCCTCACATTTAACATAAAAGACTAAATTTTAAAGTGGGCCAACCAGTTGTCAAGCGGCCTTCGTACCCTAAACACTGTGAGTTCGGTCGTGGGTTCGCGCCTCGCTCGGACGGGCTGGCCACGTGGAGTCTTCCGGGTTTTCTTCACGTCTGTAACGCCTAAATAGGAACCAGTTTTTTTTAAAAAGGCCTCCCGGAAGGATTCCCCCTAGGCAGATGCCCAACTGTTGCGTTGCCATAACTAAAACAAACAAATTAAAGGGTCTCTTGAATTTGAAGCCCTGAAACTATATGAAAGAACATCATATAAAAGTGATGTAAATGAAACTTTTTATGATAAATGGTAAAAATGAGAGAGGGCAGAGGGATGAGGCCCCATATTTATGATTAACTCGGGCTCTAATCCCACCTTTTTTGATCTTTGATTACAATAGATAAAAATAAATCATTTTAATGTTAAAAATATTCATTTAATAACTATCAAAACTATATTTGAAATATTTTTATATCTAAATAAATGTTTATGTTTACAGGTATTGATATTATTATTATATTTATTTTAAGTGAGATAGATTTTTTGATGTCATCAGTAAATAATAAAAATAATATTTTTCCAGGAAAATCGGTTCATAAATATCAATGAATTAAATTTGTTTTCGATGGTGAGTACCATACATTACATTAATTAAATTCTAGTTAACATTTAGTTTTTGTTTAAATAATAGTATTTTAAATTTCACATTTTTTTTAGAATTTAAATGGGTTCTATTCAGTTTAAATAAATAGTTTCATAAATTAATCATAATTATTTATTAAAAGATTTTCTACTTAATTTGAAATTATGTTAATAAATCATATTAATTAATTTTTACAGGTAAATAAATTTAATTTAAATTATAAATTATCTCTTTCTCATATATTTTAATAACATTAAAAATGTGATTATCAAAAAAAATTTTATTGTATTTTTTATATTCCTTATATGCTATTTTATGCGTTTAAATTTCAAATTTTAAAATAAAATGTAATTATGAAGTATGCCAAAAAAACTTATATATATTGACATTAAAAATATAATTAATATAATTTATGTATAGTTACTTTAATTATAATTAATATTAATTATTTAATAATATATTAACAAATATAAATAATAATTATATTCAGTTATATGTAGTAAGAATTCGAGAGTAATAATATATTTTTTTATTAAATTATTTTAATAANACTGCGATAGAACTTGCCTGCGTGGAATCGAAAGTGCCACGCTGTGAAAACTACTCTGTAACAACTCTGGTTTTTTTTTCATTTCTGAACGATGATTAATTCTAATAAGTAACTTTGAATTAAAATAACGTGATTTTCGGTGCACGTCAGAAGTTCATATATAGTTAATCTGGGTCTCGGGCTATTAACCTTTCCACATGTGGTCTCGACGTTTACTTATATAACTCAATTCTCGAGATTAAGAAAGGACAGACAACCTGACGGACGAAAGTGGGAATTTATAGATCTTCAATTTTTTCAAATTGCAGCCCCCAATAAGTAAGTACCCTCCAGTAACCGTGTGGATAAAACCACCGAATGAGGAATGGCCACGTGGAGTTTTCTGGGTTTTCTTCACGTTAGTAACACCAAAATAGGGGCCAGTTTTACATAAAAGTCTTCCCGGGATATATCTTCCTTGTCAGATCGCTTATGTGTTGCATTGCTGTAACCAAATGCCAAACCAATTTTAATACTTTTTCTATAAACGCGATATTTACGAGGAAATGCTTAACTACCAGGAAATCTGGATATCCCGCTCCCTCCTCTGATTTCATTTCTCTTATTAACTCATAAATCCATTGCCCTAAACTATCTTCACTGATACTGTTTAAAATGTTTTAACGTTCAGCCAAATTAACACCTAAATAGGGCCAACTTTCCATGGAAAGTCCTCTTGGCCTATCATTCATCTGTTGCATTGACTTATTTCACCAAACCAAAACCAAATTATAATTATATGATTAATATTTAATTACAGTTGTATAGTTTATAGTAATACAGTATACTATTTTTCCTTCGTGTTTCAATTGATTCTAAAAACTATTTTATCATCGTCACAATCTAATATCAGAATATTTTTCATTCTGTTTAACACAGAAAAACGAGTTTTATTGAATCACGTAGGAAAGAAAATTGAGAGACATTTTAATACGTGACATTTGAATTAATGACTTTATATATTTATTTCGACATTAAAGCTTTTATATCATTTTTCATACGTATTTAAGAGTTCAAACGTAATTAAGAGAAAATATTGAAATATTGAAAAACGTATGAAAGAGTGCAATCTATATTTTATCTTATTACATTTTTTAATGCACTATAAATTATATTATTCCGCCGTTTAATAGAATAATCAACAAGCAAACGGTAAAATATTAACGTACCACAATGGGGGATCCGAATTCGAATTCGATCTAGAGTCTCACAATTTATCAAGGAAAGTAAGGTGATAATTTATCTCTTTACCCCTTTCTCTTCCCTAGAGTATTGGCTATATTTTCTTTACACTATACTCATATTAAACATAATTAAACTGTTTTAATCTATGCATCTGGACCTCGACTTTTCCAAGAAATGATGAAAGATCAGTAGGATGCTTTGAGGGAAAGTCTTGAGAAGTATCTTTTGCAGTATCAAAGGAAGAGACAATGGGGAAGAAGGAACAACAAATAATTACGTAGAATGTACAAAACATCGGATATTATTAAATACATAAAAGAAATTAGCCTAAATTGGACTGCACGCATCATAAGCTTGAATGAAAATTTCATAGTTAAAGAAACACTGATGACAAAGCCATAGGGTAAAATAAAAAGAGAACGGCTAAGATTGAGATAGAGAGACTCTATAAACAGAGATTTTACGATACTCAAAGATAAAAACTAGAGGAATACTGTGAAGAACCGATAGACCTGGAGAAGGTTAAAACTGAATCCTGGGTTATCGAACTAATTGTGATGATATTAGCCATATTTTCATAATTCTGTCATTCTGATAAGTATATTATAGGTAACTCAGAAATTGGGAGAAATGAGATTGTCTTAAAAATATGACTTTCTACCCCATCCGAGAACTATAATAATATATAAATAAAGTCAAAAGAAACTTTCATTTATGCTTTTTTGTACAATGATTTTATATAAACATAAATTTTGAATTTTATCTGTAATCGGAGCACGGACCAAGCGATCCTGCTTGCCTTTCTCTAACTTGTAAGTCTAGTAGTAATGTAATTCTAATTATAGATGACATGACTAAGTAATAAAACTAGTAATATTATTCAAATCCAAAAGTTACGCAATTAATTTCTACACCTTTTAATTTTTTATTTTAATTTATATTCGTGGAAAAAACTCAAAATATCTTTAAAACGTTTGATAAAATATTATTGAATTTATTTAAATTTTTATTGATTATTTTTCTAAAGTTGTTGTTTTACTACTTATGTATTGATATAGGCCTAATAAATAAAAATAATAGAATTATTTACATTTATCATAATAATAACAGCATCCATTTTAACCTGACAGTATTAACAATCTATACACAGAAACTATTGGTATTTTTAATACAATATTTTATATATAATTCGGTTGGTTCTATTATATTTATTTCGTAGTAACTTTTACTATTTTTGAGACAATAAAAATTAACAATATTTTGAAACATTTAATCTACAAGATAATAATGCATTAATCAGTGTACGAAGATAATCTATAACAAAGAAAAAACTCCTAACGTATCTCTTAATTTTAAGCGTTTATTAAATAAATGACATTTTGATTCATTTTCAATGAATTATAAGTAGATTTGTAAAGCTTTATTAGTTGGCGATAAGGTCTTTATCTTATCAGCTAGATTTAACCGTAGATTTAATGCCGAGTCCGTCTGTTTGGCTTTTCTTTTCGTAACAATCAAATATTTAAATTAAAAATTTTAAAAATTCATAAATTAAATAACATTATAAATTATTTTACTACATTTTAGACATGTTTAGCCTATTAATTCACCCTTTCTTCGTTAGAATTTAAAGGTTTTTCCATAGAAAAAAAAACTGGAATGAGATAATTTACTATAATAACACGCGCTTTTTACGTTTCACGTGTTTTCTCCGTTGGCTCAAAGGAGAAAACACGCAGTATGCACGCGACACCATTCATTAAATAATAAAAAAATGCACGTGAATTTGGATTCATTCATACTATTAATTACTCAGCTTCATTCAGACTAATCACGATTTTAACATTATTTAACGTATATTTAATTTAATTTTATCGACCAAAAAAAATAATATAAAATTAAAACTCGTACGTTAGCTTATTAAACTATTTTTTTCTATATAATTTTATAGATATTTAATATTTTATTTCAATTTGTTTTTTGACTATAAGGAGACATTTTCGATGTTCAGTACATACTTTTGAAGATATTGGTGAAAAACAACCGGAATAAGACATGACATTCTGTTTTCCTGTTGTTGTTTCTATATCCTGTTTTTTTACATAGCCAAATTGATAAAATTCGAATATATATTATCTTAATAAATTCCTATCTTTCTTAGAAAATGCTTAAACTATTTTAAGTGCTAGTAATAAAAGGAAAAAAAAAATTAATAATAAAACTGTTACTTTCAGCATTGGAAACTACAGCGCCCTCTCAAAAATCTCATGTTTTACAAGTCAGAAATGTGGTTCGCCGTCTTAACATGCATGTTCACTCTGCTGTCTTCTATTGAATCATACAATTTAACCGTCCTTCACACTAACGATTTCCATTCAAGATACGAAGAAATTAATAATAAAGGTGGAAAATGCAAACCGGAAAAATCATGCTACGGTGGAATTGCACGACAAGTAACAGCGGTAAATTTTTACACTTTATTATTTTTCTACGTCCTAAACGTGACTCTCACCTAAGTTTTATTAAAGTAAAATTTAATTATTTGTTGTGTAAAAATTAAATGCAAACGTATTCTGTTAATAAATTAAGGATTTTTCTTCTAGAAAGTAAGCATTTTTTTCTTTCTTTTCTGCTAATAATCGTGCGCATGTTTTTTAATTTAGGTCAGAAACATTCGTAATGCTGAAGAGAATGTTATATTTTTAAATGCCGGTGATTATTATCAAGGAACTGTTTGGTATACCGTTCACAGGTGGAGGGCGGTTGCTGAATTTACTAACAGACTACACCACGATGCTATGGTAAATAGTATACATCCTTTCTAATAAATCTATCAATGAAAAATTTATTTACCTATTTAACCTATATACTTGAAAGTGAATTGCTAATATTTAAAAATATTTTGTAATTTAGATCATTTCGATTAAAATTTGACATAGATTTTTACACTTATTTATTTTTTTAAATCGAATATCTTAACCTGTTTTGCATTAGATTCACCTTGCAGTTTTCAATTAAAAAAGCCTTAAAAAAAAAAGGCGTATAAAACTCGAATGAGTTCGTTCAACTATAAATATTTGGCAACCCACTTGACAATTAAGTAAAGACAATTAGTTAAATTTTAAAAANGAATTCCTTGTTCTGCTAGTTCTTGATGGTCGTCGTTGGTAAGACTCTCACCAGTAACTGCAGTATCTCCTCAATATCCTGCTCGTCTACATCTCCTAGTCCTGCTGTATCGAGAGGCTCTTCTCGTTGAGACTTCTTGGATACCTTCAGCCATAACATCTTTCACACTCCGTTCGCGCATTTATCAGTTAATTCTTGCCAAGCGAAGCCGATATTGTCTATGGCATCCACGATGTTATTTTTCCAAAATTGTACCAAACAAACGTAGATTTAAAGAAAGTGCAGCGCTACCACGAATTGCCACTTTTTGCTGATTAGTTCGTGTTTGGAAATACTCGTATTATATACGAATCAATCAAATGCCGCTATAATTTGAATCGGCGTAAATTTTGAGCTTTTTTTTTAGGCTTCGAGCAGACAGCGTTATATCGAATCAGCGTTAAACGGGATCTTACTGTACAATCATTTATAGTTAATATAGTTTAGAGTTATAGGTATATAGCCACCAATTTTAAATTCTGTGGCATGACCAATAATACTAATTACTGTAGTTCTAACTGTTCTCGTTTCCTCTCGAGGCAGTTCGTATAGCTTGGGAAAAAGAGATTTCCATATTAAAGAAACGGAGGCATATTGGGCTTTTCTATTTTCGATTTCGCAAACTAAGTGAGTGGTAAGTGGAGTTATTTTTAGAAAAATACAATTTTTTTTATTGTAGAAAAGAAGGAAGAAACAAGAAATATTGTTTATAAGATTCCTTGTACTTGCAACAATACGAATTTTTATATAGGAGAAACAAAACGTAGATTAAATGCAAGATTAAAAGAAAGTTTAAGATTAAGCGAGGCCCTAGACGAGAATGGACTTTCAAGGCCCTTTCTATATATAGATGTAGGCTATGCTGTGTAAAGGCTCTATTACATAAAATTTAATATTGTAAAAGGGGTACGATCCTAACTCGTACTAGATTCTAAGCACCGGATCAGGTCGGAATATATTATCTGAAGTCTTTAATCTCAAATGTTTAACAATATAAACCTGGGAAAGGGGGTACGGAGCCGTCTTCGTAGTACAGAGGGACGAAGATACAGTGGAACCTAGTTAACTCGAAGTTATTTTCTTTCCCCGATCGTCTAGCGTAGGGATTTACACGTTAAATCAAACCGATTATCTCAAATGGAGTTTCGATATAGTATTTTTATAAACTCTCCGGAATTTTAATTTAGTTAAAATGATTAACGTTCCGAATTCCTCCTCCTGATTCGAGTTAGCGAAGTTCCACTGTATAAGGCGTAAACACGAAGTGCTCATATTTTGGCCATGCAGATGCTTTAATTTAATTTATACCACTTCTGGTAAGATGATGACACAACTTCAATGTGTGTAACAATTCACGTGATCGCCATCTTGGGGATTTCTCTACAGGTCTGGAATAGAACTCTTATCCTCCAGACCGATAGGTTCTTTCTTATCAGTGGTTCTTCCGGTCTGTTCTTTTCCCTACACGCCCTTACTAGTAGTGCCATTTGGTCTTGACCCTCACATTTAACATAAAAGACTAAATTTTAAAGGGGGCCAACCAGTGGCCAAGCGGTCTTCATACCCTAAACACTGCGAGTTCGGTCGTGGGTTCGTGCCTCGCTCGGACGGGCTGGCCACGTGGAGTTTTCCGGGTTTTCTCCACGTCTGTAATGCCCAAATAGGGGCCAGTTATTCTTAAAAAAGCCTCCCGGAAGGATTCCCCCTAGGCAGATAGCCCAACTGTTGCGTTGCCATAACTAAAACAAACAAACAAATTAAAGGGCCTTTTGAATTCGAAGCCCTAAAACTATATGAAAGAACATCATATAAAAGTGATGTAAATGAAACTTTTTATGATAAATGGTAAAAATGAGAGAGGGCAGAGGGATGAGGCCCCATATTTATGATTAACTCGGGCTCTAATCCCACCTTTTTTGATCTTTGATTACAATAGATAAAAATAAATCATTTTAATGTTAAAAATATTCATTTAATAACTATCAAAACTATATTTGAAATATTTTTATATCTAAATAAATGTTTATGTTTACAGGTATTGATATTATTATTATATTTATTTTAAGTGAGATAGATTTTTTGATGTCATCAGTAAATAATAAAAATAATATTTTTCCAGGAAAATCGGTTCATAAATATCAATGAATTAAATTTGTTTTCGATGGTGAGTACCATACATTACATTAATTAAATTCTAGTTAACATTTAGTTTTTGTTTAAATAATAGTATTTTAAATTTCACATTTTTTTTAGAATTTAAATGGGTTCTATTCAGTTTAAATAAATAGTTTCATAAATTAATCATAATTATTTATTAAAAGATTTTCTACTTAATTTGAAATTATGTTAATAAATCATATTAATTAATTTTTACAGGTAAATAAATTTAATTTAAATTATAAATTATCTCTTTCTCATATATTTTAATAACATTAAAAATGTGATTATCAAAAAAAATTTTATTGTATTTTTTATATTCCTTATATGCTATTTTATGCGTTTAAATTTCAAATTTTAAAATAAAATGTAATTATGAAGTATGCCAAAAAAACTTATATATATTGACATTAAAAATATAATTAATATAATTTATGTATAGTTACTTTAATTATAATTAATATTAATTATTTAATAATATATTAACAAATATAAATAATAATTATATTCAGTTATATGTAGTAAGAATTCGAGAGTAATAATATATTTTTTTATTAAATTATTTTAATAA